AGACCAGCACCAGCCCAGTATAATACATAACTGCTGTTTTTATTTCTGTAGCAGCCACAGTGAGTTACCACAGAATATATGCAACAGGAACACAAGAAAGAAGTATCCACAAATGACACAAACACAATTACCACCACACTTCCATTTCACCATATTCCATTACACTTGCACTTCACCGGCCTTCTGTACACTCTGCAGGCCAAGGGAAGAAAGCAGTGCCCTAAGCTGCCTTGGCCTCCGCTGAACAAGGCTTAAATATCCTTTCTGTGGGCGGGAGTGTCCAGGCGATCATGGGGAGTGTAGGCAGACATAACAAAGTGGAAACTACCTGAGGAACCAACTGAATGCAGACGAACAGGTGGGACAGCGCATCTCTCCTTCCCCTGTCCCTTGTGTTTCCACTCTGTTCCTCTGTTCTAGGGCCAGTTCAGACCGGTTGCCCTCCTCACCTCTGACTGTGGCTGTGTGGTGAGTGATCGGTGTCCCAGAAACCTCAGGGACCTTGACACCAAACCCTCACAGAAACACTGGCCTTAACTCAAGTACACAAAGCCCTCAGGCCACTGCCCTACACCCACTTCTGTCATCCTGTGACAGTCACAACCATTTATGCCTATTCTCAACATTTGCTTTTATGTTTAAAATCAGGGATGGCTTCAAAAATGCATTGTCACCTCATCCTGGTCGTAACTGACAACAGTGAAACACGAAGCTCCTCCTCAGATGCTCTCAGAGGTTCCCTGTTTTCTGTTTTGAAAAACTTGGGTTACCAAACGAAGCAAAAATCTGTGTGAGTGATATTTAATGAATCCGTTTTTCTGATACATGACTTTTTCCCCAAATTCCACAGACTGCTGCCCAACGGCGGAAAGCACACCAGAGCAGCAAACCACAAATTCAGTTGATGCAGTAGCTGACAACATTTTGTTCTCTTCCGTTCCTACTGGAGCAAGAAAGGCTTCGATCTGGAAGGGACCAACTCATCTGCTGGAGAGGCCAGCCCAAGACCACTCCACGCATGAGGAGTTACTCCTGGAGTGCACTATGTGCATTCCAATGCATTGTATAAAGATGCCCAATAATGCCTATTGTTAATGGTCGCACTTAATGGGATCATAGGCAGTTAAAACTGGAGCAAATCTCATATTTGTGCAGCCTGTCATGTACTGGATATGGCTTTGGCAAAATACAATGTGTGGCTCCCTTATGAATAGTCATAAACCCCCAGTTTAAATGCTTGTGTTGTGAAGCTCTGTGCTCCAAGAACTGTCACTATACACAGCATTTGTTTTCTCTGTAGCAATAGTCTCTTGGATGGGCTTTAGGCTTTGCATTTCTGCCATTGTACTCCTTATTACTGCAGGCTTGTCTTTTCAAGGAGAAGCATGCAGCAACATCAGCTAGACAAATAATAGTGCGAATGAATTAATCCTTCCTACTCTCTCTTTCCTTCACATGAGCACCGCGCCTTGTCCTGTGATCAAGAAGCGAACCATCAGTTCTCTCCGTTTATTGCCGACAGACAGTTGGGTAAGTGACAGTGTCAGCTGGTGGTCATTTATTTTCACATTTCTCCTGAGAGCCTCTGTACAGTGGAGCCGTTACTGCTTGGAGAGAATGAATGCACCATCTATAATGTGAAGTCATCGTCTGTCCTGGGAAAAGCCCTCATCATTCCTCATACAATAGTCCCTTTTCTCCTGCTGGCTGGGATCTATTTAGACATTAAACTCTGATCCTGACAACTGGACGGTGCACAAATCCCTTGGCTCTGTTGGCAAAAGCCAACCCCATTGTCCTGGCAAGATGGAGATGCCACTAAATAACTTTGGTGCTTGTAAATATTGGCCTGCTTTGGACTCATATTCTGCAAGTCAGGGTTTTCTTATTCAAAATGAGAAAATGACATATTCGCTCGTTGCTCCTTATGCCTTAAACCCTAAGAAAATGATTCCAGAAAAACCAAGCAAACTTTTCAAACATCATCTATTGTTAGTCAATGGCGATTAGAGTGTATGGCTTGAATTGTGTTTTATTGTACATTTTGGGGTTGAGTACATTAGGAATTAGGATTTCATCTTTCAAAGTGCAACTCCTGCCTAAAACACTAATGTATTGCTGTTGAAGTGATCCCCCCCAAACAATTCTCTACACAATCTTTTAATTCCAACCACTTAAGTTGTCGTGTCAAACTCTATCATGCGTCTGTCCCTTTGAAGCCAATGTTTTTAACTATCAGCTGAATGGGAAATAAAGGGAATGAAGGGTTATAAATTCAGAATTGTACTCAATAGCATCTAAGTGACGAGGGACTCAAAATCCAACAGTGACTTGACATGTGAGAAGCCAGTAGACTGGTCTCTGTATTGACCCCTGTGAGGATGAGTCAGGTCTTCCCAGTATCACTGGGTCTGATTGTCAGCCCCTGAAAACCTGCTTAAGAGTTTGTCAGGGGGGAAAAGTCATCTCTTTGAACTGTTTTTGGTCACTGATCTGTATTTGTCTGACATGTATTTTAAGGTGGGACTTGGAACAAAGAGAAAGCAAATATTCTTGAACTGCCTGAGGACTGTCCGGGCACATGCAGGACATCCGGAAATGTGATGTTCTGCAGTAACACAATTTTCTTTTCACTAAGGACAAGCAAATTTCAGCCATTCGAGAGCTGTGCTGCACCTGATATCTTTCAGTCTTCATAAATCATTTATCAGAATTACCATCTCCTTCAAGCCTGGAACAGACAAATTAAGGACACCTATAAAATCTGCAGGATCCATTTCTTCACCTCTTGTGCGGGCTCACAAAATTGTAATTTCTTCAGAAGCCGAGTTTAGGTTTTGGAGTGGAGAGAGAGGTCAGAGATACTTCCCATCAGTGTCCTCAGCAAGGTTCGGATGCTGTACGGGAATCTGTCATTCCTGTCATCCTGGAATGGATTACGGGACAGGAACGCCAAGCTGAAAAGTCCTGGATGTCCTCACAGCTCCCACAGAAATGAATGCCAGGAAGGTGAAGCGTATCGGAGATGCGTTCGGCTGGCCTTATAGCCCAGTCTCTGCGATTATTCCCTTCTCAGTAAAGGTTACCCTGTCATGGTTCAGCTGTTCACTTCCTGCGCTCCCTCACTTAGTCCATTTTTAGCATTAATTGCTGTTTGGCTAAACGTAATTGTGATGCCTTGCTTTCTAGAGATTACGTGGTTGCTTTGGGGATCAAGGAAATGACAGTTTTTTTTTTATCAGACTATTAGAGAATCATGGTCCTTACCACAGTTCATTGAGCACATTGGCTCTGTTGCAGAAGAGGTAACTCTCTTTTCCTTAGATAGTAATTATGATAAGTAACAGTTTAAACAAGCCAGTCATTTTGTCTAATTTACCAGTCAGACAGCCAATTATGGGCCTTTCTGGAATCCCAGGGCCACTGTTCTTTCTTCAGTAGCACAGAAGGAGTATTTATGTGCTGTGCTGTTGGTACCCACGATTCAGCTGAAAGAAAAAATGCTGCTACCTGTGCCGTCTTATCAAGTGAGATGTGCCATAATTCCATTAAGGTGCTTTTATCCACCACAAAGGATCTAACTGTGCTTCATGCTGCTTAACAGCGTACTCAGTAGTCGGACAAACTTTTTTTCTGCCCGATCTAGTTAGGTGCTTGAGGTTGCAGAATGTCAAATTCTCCTTCTCCTGGGTCTTTTAATCTTCTGGCCTTGTCCGTCAGGTTTTGAGGATGGGGACAGCAGAAAGGCCACAAATAAGAAAGGAACCATTTTTTTAGAGGAAACTGGGACACCCATTAAAAAGCCACAAGGAGAACGTGCAAACTCCATACAGACAGGTGACCAATTCTGGAATCAATCCCCAGACTCTAGAGCTGTGAGGAAGCAGTATCAGCCATCATGCTACCCTAGAGTGGCACAAATAGCGAGGTTTCTTATATCCTCTGTTATTTAGGTTATTTAAACCCACCCAGCAGGATCACCTTATTATTGTTCCTCAAATCTGCTGCAGTAAGTCATCCCAGTTCAGCTAGATATAGTATCAAAACATGCAGCCAACCCTTAAGCTGTGTTTCACTTTTAGAAACTGAAAAGAAGTGTTTTCCCTCAGATAATCCATGGCCTTCTCCACCGAGTCCCAGAAGAGGTGTGATAACACTCCTGGCAAGTCTCCACAGCTCACAGGAGAGAACCAAATCCCTCAGCAGGACTGAAGTCTTGCTGGGGAACGTATCTCAGGCACGGTCATTTCTGAGCAGTTTTAATATTTAATTTTCACGTGGATTTCCCTTAGAGATGGAAATCCGACTAAAAAAAAAATAGCCGTAGATCAGTGCCTGTGAGAGCTGTTAGGTGGTAGAAACGTTGTGGCTGCTCTCCCTGCCGTGTGAAGCCACAGAGTCATCACACTCTGCATCATTCTGCAAGGCTGTTTAGTTTCGCCTTCATTTCTCACAAACTCCCACCTGTCCATTTGCATGAGTGCGACTTAATTTACAATTGTTTCTTGTACGCAAACATTGCTGTTTTTAAAACAAGCTGATAATAATAATAAACAACACCGATATACAGTATGGAGGTGTCAAAAATTGCAGGGTAGGTGCTTTTAATATGAAGTCCTCCACTGATAGTAGAGGCAGAAAACAGCTGAAACACACTGGAATGTACTGTATATGTACTGTAAATACCACAACCTATATGCAAAGCACCAGAAATCAAAGGCAGGAGACCACAGATCAGGTTACGTGAGCAGGAGATGATCTCCACATTGCAATTATGCTACCACTGCAGAAGTAGGCCAGACTGAGTTACTCTAAAAAAATAATTTGAAGTTTGACACTCAGCGTTCCTGTTGACGTACTGATGTTCATCCCACCCCAGCTAAGCAGCGAGGAGCAAGACTGACTCCTGTTGTAGGGTTATCTTCTGTGGGAAGATTATAATAAATCGACAGTTCTTTTTCCATTTTTTCATATATATGCCTCTTAGAGTGAAGGAAACTATGACACTTTGGAGAGGTGACCTGGAATCTGGGTTTGGAGTTCATGTATTCATGTTGATTCAGTGACTTCATTCAACATTTAACACTTGAAAAAAATAAAATATTGCATTTTCTAGGGTTTCTTATTCTTCCTCAAAAATCTGAAGTCTCAGGCATATAAAATCTAGATTTTGTAGTCTCATTCACATTTGTATCTCTGTGCAGTTGAATGGCGTAAATAACGTGAATAAAGTTTATAAATAACAGGATGCCATTTAGCCCATCACTTGGTGTTTGTTTTGTTGTTTCCTCTTTATGTTTCCTCTTTTATTATTACTTTATAATATGCAAATGTTTTCATTGTATTACATTGTTCTCCTAGTAAATGAAAAACTGTAGAGGGAAAGCAAAAAGTTAAATAAGATGTTTCTGTTTTAGTTATTTTGTTGTTCATAATATTGATTTTAATTTGACCAAGTGTCAGAGAATGCGGAGAGGTGGTTAGTCAGTTCTCAGGCGACTCTTTCGCGCCTCTCAGTGTCCAGATTCAGGAATGACAGCTGCCCAGGTAGAACTGACTCTTCCTAGAAAGCTTTGTGCCAGTTTCTATTAAGACTTCAGAGAACAGCATCGTCTGCTGGACTGCTTCTGGAGGACACGTTCAATCACATCAAAGCATTGGGTCCTCTGCGGCTCCGTGCATTTGACGCACTGTCCGTACCAGAGCTCTGAGCTGCCTGCTTGTTAAACTGCAGGTCTGCTAGCCTAGTAATACGGGACAAGTAATGAGGACGCCTTATTCATTCTCGAGCAATACGGTTGAGGGATTGATGCGTACGTGCATGCAGGACAGTTTTTTTTTTAAAATTGGAGCCCGTAGGCTCCAGCTATTTAATGAGGATCTGCTTTCTCTTCGCCGCTTTGATGCGCTCTCGCGGAGGTCAAGAAGAGAACTGAGTGATAAAATCGATCGAGAGCTGTCCATGGATTTCATTTAATGCTATAAAATGTCGTGCGCGTTTTGCAAATGTCTCGTTTAAATGTCCTGTTTCAGTTTGTCTCTCACAGCTCGGCACGCCCCTCCTGCGGCGATCGCTTGCGCTGACACGGCTGCGTGTCCAATTAGTCCGCGGTGCAGCTGGGTGGAAGGGGTAGGAGCGTGATGGGGTGTAGAAATCCAACAAAGTGTCTGAGCTGCTGTCTGCAAACGGGAAGCCCACATGGGTGGCAGTCTGGTTTCAGAAGGACGAGTAGACAGGTTCACCTCTCGCTTAGATTAGGCGTTAGATTCATAGCGGCGTCTTGCGGTAGATAGCAGTAACAGGAAAGTCGTTCTCCCAGATATTGTTTCTGGTTCACACTCGGTACAATCTCCAGTACTGCACAAGAAAAACGTTCTCCAACTCCCAAGTACCACACACACAGTCTCAAAACAGATTGTAAAGGAGCACGCAGGCTATCATGAACAGAACAAGCAGCAGTAAAGGCAATTTAATAGAGGGGCATGATCACCCTTTTCATCAGCCAAATTCAATTATGTCTCAGAGAACGTGAGCTTGTGGCCTCTAGGACAGGCCCAAACTCATCTCATTTTACAAATTGAGAAAAATACATTCAATCATTTTCTAACTGCTTTTTTCAATCCACATTTTCCCAGAAGCCAATTAATCGGCTAGCATGTCTTTGGACTGTGAGAGGATACTGGAGCACCGGGAGGAAACCCATGTGAGCACGGAGAGAACATACAGACTCCACACAGACGGCACCCCTGGTCCGGAATTGAACTCGGGGCCCCAGCACTGCAAGGTACCCATGCTAACCTCTTGTTAACACAGTGTTAACTGGCTTGCTAAGAGAAATATTCTCGCTCAATAAAGCAAAACAAAGAACATAATTGAGATCAACAGAGTACCTGTCTGTACAAGTAACAGGCTAATGGGGAAAAAAGAAAGAAAGAAGAAAGTGCAGAGTTATTTTTCTTTGCTCTCTAATGAGTGCTTGGCTGCTGTATAGTCTTGTCAAGGCCCTGACCTGTTGATGGATGTGCTCCTTTTTGTAAGAGCAACTTTGTTTCGTGGGAACACTGGGAAGGTTACAAATGACATTCTGCCCGTCCCAGAATCTCGCACAGCTGTGTCAGCAAGAAGTCAGGGTACCGGTTTCACCAAAGGGGATGGGCAGTCAGTTCTGTACACCCACAAAACTTCTGTTTGCTCAGTTTCTGAAACAAGAGGCACCTATTTACCTATTTATAACTCAATTAAAACTGATCCCCCCAAAAAACAGATAAATCAGGTTAGATCTTGTGGGTGTAAAGTAACGATTTGATAATACATTGATTGGTTTATACCGTATGTCCCCTTTAAATACTATTATTATTATTATTAAAAGTGTGTAATCTAGACTGTGAGTTGTGAAGCAGAAGGTCATTATGGGAGCCTCTACAGTTACTGCGTTTTGCTTCCCAGCCATTTTGTTAGGAAAAGGGAAAGGGAAAGGAGGGAGAGGGTGTTGTGTCTTTGGTGATGTCGCAATATAATTAAAACAAACAACAAATAAACAAACAAAATGGTGACATTTCAGGCAACACATCTGAATGAGGGCAGTTCTGAAACTGGTGCAGAGTGGATACCAATTACAAATGCCTTCTAACGTTTTTAAGAGAAAACCATATTTATAAATATGCCCTGAATATAAATTAACCTGTTATGAAGAAGTGGGCTGGGGTAAAATCCAGCAATAGTTGGTAACTACAGTACCTGTCACAGTGCTTTTGCTAACATAGCATTCAAACCTACTTATCAGGTCTGAGACAAGGTGGGAACTTCTTTTTACTTGGATTTGCATTAGAAGTGTCAGGGATCGCCCAGCGAGGTTCTGTAGTATTTATTCCAGCATCACAGGCAGTGATTTCACTACTTATTAAAACCACCTGCTTCGCTCTGTGTGTGTGTTGCCACAATACATTTTCATTTTCAGTGGAACTTTGCCTCTCCTAATTTTTTGTTTCTTAGTCCCCGTGACTGTCAGAGGGACAGTTCAGTGGAAACCAGCTTAAGACAGCAATCACCAGTACAAAGAATTGTGTAACATAGAACATGTTTCATCGCTTGTTCAGCTGATTCTTTCCTACGCCACTGCTGTGCTGTGAAAATCAAGAGTTATAGGTTGGGGTCCCCAGTCAGTCATTGAAATGGTAGATAAACAGGATATTGGCCTTGCTGGAAATAGGAACTTTGAACTCTTTGTTGTCAATATAGAGATACACTGAAGCTGCTATACAGCAGAACAAAAATGGACTCCTTAATCATCAGTCTGGCTGTAGCCTTAATGCTGAGCTGTGTAACAAGTCAAGATGCACAGAAAGGTAATGTGTGAATCTGATAGAGAGGCTTGTACTGTCGTTTGAAATTTAGAATGCGGTAGCAATGAATTTCGATAGATGACTATGCCTTTACTTTGTTGTGGAATGACGGCAATGGGTTCTCCCAGGTTTTAAATTTACACTTTGAATTTAAAATCATATGGAACATCAAACCAGCTAGTTGCTTCTTTGATTCAAAAGGTGAGCTATATTTTAATTTGTGATCCATTTAATCAAATGAGCAGTGCACAGTCTGTCTTTCCTGCATAAATGTGCAGCTATTGTGGCTTCTGTTGTGACTTAGAGAAAAGTTTCAGAAAAAGGGTCATTTCTTTTTTTCCCTTTACAACAAAGTGTGCCTACATTGGTGACACCACCTGCTGTGTACTTTAGAAGTAACGTCTCCTGTATAATTAATTGTTGAAGGCACAAACATGCTATATGTTGTAAACATACATTTATTCCATAGTGCTTCATTCTATTATAGTATTGTAATTATATCCGTAATGTTTCCTCTAGAAAAAAGGTTAGGTTGTGACTCTAAGAAACTACAGGATTTTGTTTGTTTTTTTCATTGATTCGCTATTGCCTCCAAAATGTTTAGGGTGACATATGGAGTTTGCAAGGTCTTCCATAAGATATGAAAGAAAGCAATGCATACGATTACAAGTCTGAGCACCTCCGATACAATTACAACAAAGGCAGGAACAATAATGTTGGAAATATTCAAGCGTGTTTTTCCATTTCTGCAAGTAACCACTGAAAATAGAAAGGTGCAAATCCTACAAGAGAGAACGGAGATGTGGAAAAGAGGTTTTGATTCGTAGCTTAAATTTTAGCAAACAGATTTCTTCAGTGGAACAAAAAGCATTGAAAGTCTGTGTCAGATGAAAGTCTTTCGTAAAGTACTTTCAGACCCTTGCCCTGGTTCACCAACAGCCTGGCTTATTGTATTACTGTGAGGGGGTTGGGGAGTTACACCAGCAATGCATTCAGGAGCCCTGAATATGTGCGTGTTTATAAAGCAATGTAGGTGGTTTATAAGAGTAAATAATACGTTCCTATGAAACCAGTGGTAGTTCCTCAGAGTTGTGAATGAATCTTTGGTATAATTAGTGTATTTTTAAATGAGTGAAACTGTATGTGTGCTCCCCACCTCTAAACCATTAAATCGTATTTTTTCATCCACTGTAAGAACATAAAGAAGTCTTAAAAATGAAACGTCAATCTAGGCCATTCTGTAACTAGTAGCTAAGTGATTTCATTCATCTTGAACCAAACCAGGGTATCTCCCTTGGCAACATAGCTGGGCAGCTTGTTTCCACAACATAGCCATACTGTTTGTGGTTCATAAATGCTTATTGAACCTACTTTAAGCAGTGATCTTCCACATTACCATAGTTACATGGTGCTTTGCGTGGTGTCTGAGTGCAGTAATTGATATCTGTTACTGGAAATCCATGTATCCACTCCAGATGTATCTGCCTGACAAGGGTCGTAACAGCATGAAATCGGATGAAAATACTGTGCCATAAAAATTACAGCTAAGCTATAATAGTAGCCTAGTACTGATGACTTAATAAAAACCTACTTTATAAAATAAAGCAAAGCCAATTGGCACCATTTCATTTGGGGTTTTTTTTTAAAGGTGAAGGTAAACACTGTACAGGTTTGCTGAGAGAAAAAATAGCCTGAGGTCTTTGTGGTTGTTATTTGCTGAAATGAGGTGGAAGGTAATCTGTGTAGAGTCTTATTTGTTTAACTCCAGCATGAAGAACTGAAGCAAACACCTGGTTAATGAATCATGATTTTTAGCTTTCTTGCGAAACCAGGCCTCATTCAAATGTTCTAGATGTTAGTGGTGCCATAGATCCAACTTTTATAAATGCAGAGGGCTGCTTTGTCATACAGATGCATCAAAAGCTTCAAACAGAGCAGAAAAAAACAGAATACAAAACCAAAGTAATCTTTCATATTTAGTTTTCTTTGTTAAATAAGGTCTTCATTATCTGCTACTGCACTCTAAATACAAAGTATATCAATTTTTCCCTCCCGTTTTAGTGCTGACGTTAGTTGGAAGAATTTTTTTGTCACTTGTGGAATGTAGGTTATGTTTAAATGCCTTAATCTTAAAATGCTGAGAAAGTTCAGAAATAACCCAGAATTCTGCTTTAGTGAAATATTAAAAATGATCTGATTTTCCACTGTGGATAAGTTACCGTAGGTACCTAATTCATTTCATGAAGGGAGGACATTCTGCCCATAATGATGAAGGTTTTTTTTTTAAGATAAGATTTTGTTTTTTTCAGTTCTGAACCTAAGGTGCTGTCTGTGTGGAGTTTGTAGGTTTGCCCTGTGTTCACGTTTTTCCTCCAGGTGCTGGAGGAAATGCTGCCAGGTAAATTGGCTTTTGGGAAAACGTGCCCAAGGTGTGAGTGTGTGCAGGTTTTTGGCAGTGTCTGTGTCTGGCGTCCTGATCTGACTGCTCCCTGCCTTGTGCTCATTGCTGGCCAGCAGCCTTCTTACTGGGTAAAGCAGTTAGAAAATGGATGGATTTTTATTTCTAGGGTTTGATTTCTCATAGCTGATGGTAAATGTGTAGGTGATGCACATTATACTCTAGTACAAAGGAACCATGTTACTATGCAAGTACAGTATATCAGGTTAATGATGAATAGAGTTATGTTGAATAAAAACCACTAGATGGAGCTAGTAAGTAATATTCTGTGAGTTTATACATGTGAAGAGAGTGAAAAAACAAAATCACCCAGGCTGCAGAACTATGTGGGAAGGAGGGAACAGTGCACTGACAGCACTGCTTTGGACAGTAACTGCATCACTGACTTGGCAATGTGCACATCTTAATCCAGTGACAAACAGTCCAGAAGTGAAAGACTCAGCCAAAGATAATGGAGAAAGAATTTGTTTTGGAGCTGGTGTATTTATTGCTGTACTCTTTTGTCCCCCAGGGGGGCAAATTCAAGTAGAGAGCCTCTTGCAGAGGTTAATGTCCCCAGGTGTTAAGAACGTATTGATGGTTATAGGTGAGAGGATGCCATCTGGTAGTTAGCAGCTACTTGATCCAAGAATTTCATCCAGGAGTTTTTGAAAAGAGTCAGGGTATCCGCTTAAACGACATGGCTGGGCAACTTGCTCTAAACTCCCATATCTAAGACTCACCCAGAACATAGTTTGGTATGGAGATTGCCTTGTCGAGCTTTCTTCTGCTTTGAGCTTTTTATCTTGGTTTTACAGTCTGTGCCTCACTTTTCCAGCAAGGGTTTTAGCTGTATTAGTGCACAACCGTTTTAATGCCAAGGGGAGATTTAGCTAAAATCTCAATTTGTCCACCAATTATTCATCCATGTATTATCAAATGTCAAGCTAACCAGTGGCAAAAGTAGAGAGGTGACCAAAAAAGTGAAGTCATTCAGGTTTTGTAAAGGGACTGAGTCAGGGGAGGGCTTCTGCTTTGTTACAGTGTTTCTGGACAGAGCCACTGCCAGTAGGATCATTGGAAGACACAGGCGTGCCAATCACAGGAATGAAGAAAGCCTGCCCCCGAATCTGGAGCGAGAGTGTGTGGAAGAGGTGTGCAACTACGAGGAAGCCCGAGAAATATTCAAAGATTCGTACCGAACAGTAAGTACCCCCTCTTTGTATGTAGTCAAAACAGTGCTCACCGTGCCTCACACAAAGACCCAGTGTCCACATTGTGTTTCACTAAACTGCAGTCAGTGCACAGAGCAGCCCTGTGAAAGCCCAGCTGCATGGATGCACTGAAGTCTTAAGGTAAAGGAACAGTGTTACTTTCTGCAGTTCGCGTTCAGATAGAAAGGTATTCCCTTTTTCTGCTCGGTCCAGACTCGTACATCAAGTTGACAATGAGGCACCATAATAAAGGCAGCACAATGGTTTAGCACTGCTGGCTCGCAGCGCTGGGGCCCTGGGGTGCTGTCTGTGTGGAGTTTGTATGTTCTCCCCGTGTGCCTGTGAGTTTCCTCCTGATGCTCTGGTTTCCTCCTGCTGTCCAAATCTGTACTGGCAGGTTAATGAGCTCCTGGGGGAAACTGACCCAGGTGTGAGTGTGCTTGAGTTTGTGTCTGCGCGTGCCATCCAGGGTGTACCCTGCCCCCAGGCTGTTGCTTGTCAGAATAGGCTCCAGCTCCCCTCTGACCCTGAATTAGATAAAGCCGAAAATGGATGAATGGAATCAAATGCATAATTATAGTACTAGTAGAAGTATATCATTTAGCTTTACACACCTGAGCCTATAAAAGCCTTGAGTCTTGAGTTTTCTAATCTCTCTATTTTTTTAAGGTTCTTTCTGTACTTTGCATCATTTTTTAACTGTAAAATAGATTAAACTCATATGTTTTTCTACCTTCCAAGTATAAATGAGTGAGATTATAAAGCATGCTTGTGTTTTTACTGGATTTTCCTCACGTGTACATGATGTATTCAGTTCAAGATCTCCAGCCCATATGAAATCCACGTGAACAGGCTTCTGACATTGCTGTCTCTTTTCAGGACATATTCTGGACAGTGTATATCGGTAAGTACCAGTATAGTAAATGTCTTGTGGTGGCCAAATGGAAAAGATGAAAAATTAAAGAAAGGGATTCTACGGCTGGGATGACCACAAAATCAAGTGATCATGAAAAAAGGTTCTTTTGTCCAATGTTTCCAAGCCTTTTGTAGGTCAACTGATATAATTCAGCATATAATAGCAATAACACCTTTCCCCGAGCCTCAACAGCAAAACTGTGTGACTGAGCACATTTCTCCCTTTCGGGAAATGGGTTTGACTGCAACACCAGCCCCTGCATTCCTCTCCTTCCCCATCAAACTCATTCATGCCAGACATCAGCAGTGATGACACCAATTAGACTGACGCACTCACCTGTGCAGAAGGTCTCGGTGCCTGTAGAATGTTACCTTTGCCAAGTTAATGCAACAATTAAATCATTTCAATAATAGGCTATTTGCAGTTGGAAAAAAGACCAGAAGGACCATGCAGAAAGAATGGCAAAATGTGCTTTTCCTGCAAAATTCCTTGCCCCCCTTTGGAAATCTCCAAGTGAATTCAGAGTAGAATTTCCAGACTATGTTAAAACAGAGGCACATGTGCTCCACCTGTTCGGTGGATACGTAAACTTTCGGAACACTTTTCCAGAGCACTGAGCACATTTTTCTTCTCTCTCTTGAAGCAGTTTTAGGAATACCGGGCTCCTTCGGGAGTGAAGGGATCTGAGGATCCCTCTGGGTCACACGTGATAGGTTATTAACTCAACCCACTTTCCCTCATCACTCCACAGACGGGGATCAGTGTGCAAACAAGCCGTGCAAGAATGGAGCCATGTGTGCCGACAGCATAGGGGGGTACGACTGTATCTGCAAGAGTGGCTTCTCTGGGGTTCACTGCGAAACCGGTGAGCAGCAGGAGAAACCTGACCTGTTCCGTATTCCACAAACTCTCGGTGACTTTCAGTGGAGCACAGCTGTTTTAAGGTTTAACGCACAATGCTGTTTTTGCACCACTGCAAAATCCCCTTCATTAATGAGCACACATACCGAATGAACCGGAAGTGAAGGAGAGGAGATCATTTCATATTTGGTTTTTAGTAGCTAATTGATCCAAGGGTTAATTGAAGCAAGCCAGAGTATCAGCTTAAAAAGCCTGGTACTAGATTCCCATAACCATTTGCTTAAAGAAGTGGCTCTTGTGCTCCACTTTAAATGTTTATTCCCGTTTGTATTTGTGCCCTTCAGTTTACGCTTGATTGTTGAATCTGAGGCCCACAGCAACTCGGTCAGGGTTTTGATGATCTGAATCACGTGTGCACAGTCAGATGTGTTTGTGTACTTCTCTATGTCAAAATCTGCGACATTCTTGCAAGAACTAGCACCATCTGGGGCCGTACGACTTTAAAAAAGCCTTCGGTGTGAGTGTGCGTGTCTGTGTTTGTGTCTGTGTGTGGTCTACGATGGACTTGAGGTTGTACCCTACTTTGTGCCCGTTGCTTGCTGGGATAGGCTCCAGCAAACCTACGACCCTGAATCGGATGAAGCAGATAGAAAATGAAAGGATGGATCCACTTTGGGGTGGCACACTAGTAGAAATAGCTGAATAGTCGCTTCTGAGAGACTAATTTACCCTGAACAACTTCCTCTCCAGTTCGTGGTTGTTTGAAGACAAACTGAACTTCCTGTCCCTTACACTGTGGCCTCTTTGTCTCAGTCCTCGCACCGTACAAGTTCCTTTCCTGACTCATTCGTCTTTGCTGACTCTTAGAATTCTCTCAGCAGAACAACCCAGAAATGTCAAGAACCTGAGACGGTCCTCTCGGCAAACTATTGTTTTTATCCACGTGACCATTGCGAGAACACGGGTTCTGCTCAGCCATCGGTTCAGCAGGTTTGCTCTCATTGCTTCATTAACCATGACTGTTGCTGTGGCTCTCCCCAGATCAAACTCTGTGCACGGGGAATGAGGACAAAGGCTGCAGCCAGTTCTGCCAGCCGGGGTTTCAGTCTTATCAGTGCTCCTGTGCCAGCGGATACGAGCTCCGAGAAAAAGGAAAGTGTGTTTCTCTTGGTAAGAGCCATCTCTATTCCTGACTGAGGGATATTGAACATGTCCTTTACAGGCAGTTGCTTTGCTTTTGTAATAAATAGAATAATTTGGACTGAGCTGTGTAAAAATCTGACAGGACGGCCTTATCAATCCCTAAGGGCAGAAACAGAGGCTCATGAAGAAAGTACACTTGAGAAGCAGATGCAGAGTGATATACAGTATAGAATAGATACAATGAAGAGATAAGGGTTGTTCTTTATTTGTCTTTTTCCATGGTTATTTCATCTATATTTCATTGAATAGTTTACCATCCAAGTTGAGCTTGATTCTCTGTTGCACTTAAAGCCATAGAATCTTTCATGTGGTTAGATGATCTGTCAGCTTTATTGAGTTTAAAGAAGGGGAAGATTAATAGGGTTGCACCTTATCTTTATGCTCAGGGGGTGAAGTATTGTCAGCTGTCAATGGGTTGCTGGGGTTTTAGAAAGCTGGGTGTGATAGTGTTGCTCATGTGAACTCCATGTGTTGTCTGATTGACCTGTTGAATGAATTAACAGATTTTGTGGGTTTTTTCCCATTCCTTTTTTTTTCTGTGGCAAATGTCAAGCAATATCATTATTGTTGTTCCAATTCAGGTAACTTGAGTCCGTGCTGAAAACAGCCAACAAGCTCTCATTAAGATCGAGGGCACTTCACTGAAGCATGGAGTTTTTCAACTCAAAGCCCAACTGCAGCCATAAGCCAGAGGACATTGGAGTTCCCTCTGCTTGGGACTGGGAGATACTGCTTTATGAATGTAGTCCTGGAGCTCCATGTGCATATCTTCCAAATACATCTGCTGGCTTTTCTGCCACTTTCAAAACCAGATATACATCAGGAGAAGTGATGCCTCCCACTTAGTCACACCAACATTTAGATATCTAATGCTACCATCCAGCCCAACTCAGATATGACTCTTAAGTTCAAATAGGGACTTGTGGCAGGAGTCTGTGCCCTGCCGCAAAGTTCCAGTGGAAACAGACAATATTGCAGCACTAATGTGTTTGTTTGTTTTTTTCTGGCAGGAGAATTCTCCTGTGGCAAAGTGAGCACATCAAGGCTGAAGGACCCAAGGGTGTTGGAGCAAAGCATCAAGACACACAGCAGTAGCGTGAGCTTGCCCTGTGCCACAGGCGAGTGCCCGTGGCAGGTAGGTGTGACCAGAGGCTTGATTGCAGCTGGTTAGAATACAGGTGGCACTCCTCCAGCATGCCCACCTGTCACAATGATTCCCATTGCTGTCAGATCACCAGTGTCCCACTGTTGTCACCGTAATCCTACAGGTCCGTCACAGGTCGCCGGGGTTGTTGTATCTTCAAAATGTGGACTAACACCAAGTCCTGGCCTGGCTGCATTTAACCTATTGAGTGCCATCTCTTCCCAGGGCCGGATTTTGGTGTTCGTAGGCCCTCAGCACGTTCACTCCGAAATGTGCAAAAAGACGGGTGAACGCCGATTGAATAACGGCGATTGACAAGATGCACTTTAAACTATTCTATTGCTAAACCATGTGATTGATGGAGCGAGTCGAGCAACCATCACTTCGATACTTCTAGTTTCTAGAACAGCCGCTAGATAGCATACGGTTATTGATTTGGAGCACCTAGAGTTGATCGCAAGCCTGTTGTTTCAGCTTGTTTTTCGTTAGTCACTAGTGTTTCCCTCCTTCACAGGCCCTGAAACTTCCGTAGGTCCTAGGCACTGTAGGCACTGTCCCAATGGGAAATCCGGCTCTGTTTCTTCCATAAACCTGGCTAGAGTGAGCTTGTGACCTGACTACACTCTTGACATCTCAGCTGCACTGTAGGACTCATTCTGCATTCTGAGCCAGCACCTTCACAGATTGACAGACGGGGGAGCCCCTGGCAGATCACTTTGACTATGTGCAGCAAGCCATATCAACAAACGTGTCCTGAAAAAAAACAGAGATCTTGAATGATGACCATAAGACAGGAGACACAGGATTTCCCTCTGCTCGTGACTGGGGAATGCTGCTTGGTGAATGTAGCCCATGTGCATCACATTTCCTACTTTTGTTACTCAATTGATCAATATATTGATCTTATATCTGTTGCAAAAGGGTTTTTATCTGTTATGTCCCAGAGCCCTCATCTGTTACACAGGATTGTAATAATTATTATACTAATTCCTTACACTATGGCAGCCAGAGTGCGCCAGTCCGTTCACCACACACCAGCTCTCAGGGGGGAGGAGACAAGAGCGATGAAGCCAGTTGAGAGATGGGATTATTAGGAGTCCATGTTTAGTAAAGGCCGGGGGAAACTTGGCCAGGACACCAAATTTAGGTCCAGGATTGTGACCGTTGCAATATTAAAATAAGAGAACTGTGGCACAGTTACAGCTCAGCATGACATGGAAAGAGATACATAGAGCATTGGATGAAAGAGGAAAATGGAGACACTGTATTGTCTAATGTGCAGTGTTGCATGGAACTAGCATAGAATAACATGGACTTGCTAATAGATTTTTTGCCAAAGGAGAATAATACTGATCACCTGTTCACACTCCCTGATCAGGGAGTTCTTTGTCAGAACTTTAGCCAAGCGTGCTCAGTTTATATTTAAATGCAATCCTGGTTGTGTACAATTTGGAAGCAGTTCTTAAAATCACTTCTTAATGAGGGCAGCTCCAGTTAGGTGATGTAGTGTGTGTATTCTTTGCTAGAAAAAAACCCCTCAGTAACTCTGTTTGTTGTTTGTCTGGTGTTCTGAAACAGGCCCTGTTGAAAAGCGAGCAGTCAGATGGGTTTTGTACCGGAGTCATCCTTAAGGACAACCTGGTGCTCACCACAGCACAGTGTGCCACCAAGTTCAGCAGTTTTCAGGTTGTTGTAGGTAAGTTTGAGATCGTTTAAGGACAAATGAGGGACTGGGAAAGAGAAAGGTGTTGCAAACCTTTGCAAACGAAAGCCAGGAGGAGGTGGGCCTCTCTCCCCTCACAGTGAAACTGTGATTTCTCCCCCATTCCAGGAAAAATGCAAATACCTTATGAGGAGGGGGAGCAGGTCTTGTACGTGAAGAGCATCCACAAGCACCCCAAGCATGTGGCAGGCAGGCCGGAGAATGACCTGGCCCTCGTTGAGCTGAGAGAGCGGATCAGGTTTAAGAGACAAGCCGCGGCGCCCTGCCTGCCGGAGAGAGACTTTGCAGAGAACGTGCTGATGGGCGAGACGTCAAAAGCCCTGGTGATGGGGTGGAACTACACCGGCGACGCCCTGCACGGCAGTTTGAAGCTCAGTTCCTTTAGCTACCTGCCCCTGCCTCAGTGCCAGAAGAAGCATGACGGCCTGCTAACCAACAAGATGTTCTGCACCACCTCCCCCGAGAGGGCCAACTGCTTCTTCGGACCCGGAGCCCCTGTAGTTTCTATTCACAAGCAAGTGGCCTTCCTCGTGGGCCTTCTGAGCAGACCCCAGGGACAGGCCTGTGAGAAAGGCTTTGTGTACCAGAAGATATCCCGTTTTCTGCCCTGGCTCAGACCTTTCATGGAGGCGCGGTGAGGTGAAAAAACAGCCGTCGCGGAGCCCTCATTGCCTGCACCGGTTGCCTGTATGGGCTCTTCAAGGCTGTGTGAAGACGACCCGAGGAAGCAATGAGAGCTCTTTGTTCTGTTGATAACTATGTAGGCCCGTCTGATTTGTTCGATCAAGAATATCCCTAGGTTAGTACATGTTATTTGATAAGTCAGATCTGGTTGTTTCTGAAGACTCTTGTCATGTTGGTTTATAGTACATTTTGTGCTACATTGGTTCAGACAAAGAAGTGTAGATCCTACATTTTAGTTGCCTTAAAAATAAAAGAGAATGTTTGTATTGTATGACTCTGTTTGGTCTTATGTATGCATGCTTGCAAACATTTGATGGGTTTTTACCATTGTATTATATTAGATTTACATACAACCTACACTTTGCTTTTCTTCTGCTGTTTTTTTTTTATTCCTCTTCAGGTTCCTATTTTTTAAGATGGTTTCCCTTATTGTGCACTATCAGCTTGAAGAACATTGCTTACTAACTTCCCCACATTGTCTAGAAGATGTAAATAATGGGTCAACATAATCTCAGTCTCTTTCACAAATATAGACTTATGAGCTTTAGCTCTTTCCAAAAAATCAAATGAGCTTTTCCAAAAAAAAAACCTTTAAAGTTAAAAAAGTGACCGTTTTACCTGAAGGTGTTTAGAGATGAGGTTAAATTCCTAAAACTGATTATTGAGGAGTATTTAATAACAGTTTGGCTTTAATACCCTTTGGTGCTACTTATTTTAATGGCCTAACATTGCATCTCTGATCTTAAAAAGGTTTGTGTTTTTACTGTTGCTTTTGTGGTTGAAAATCAAAGAGTTTAAGTAAAGAAGGATGAGTTCCAAGTGACAGGGGTTAACAGTCGTGAGGCCGCGTTGCCGTGGTGACAGCAGGTAAAATGGGCCTTCACAGATGCAGGCAGGATTATTCTCAGACGCACTTGAAACCTCTTTCAGTTTTAATTGTAATTCACATGGTCTCTCTGGCACAAAGGTGATGTTCCACTCATTTCCATTACTGTTTTACAATAAAAGTACTCATCTGCATCCACTGAGCCAGTACTGTACCACATACTTCCTAATTATTTAGAAAAAGGATTTTTTTGTAGCTTGTCTTTTAACTGTCACATCTCTGATACTCTGATACCACGTTCCATCTGGTGATGCCATTTACTGTTTGTTTTTCTACAAAAGACGATACATTTAGGAACTTTCTGACTGTGTCCCTACCCTTGATATAGTTTATATGGTCTGTAGGTTTTGTTCAATTTTACAAAAATAAGGAAATTAATTCTATACTAAGAGGCACACAGTCAGCTTGCCTGATGAAGGGCTGATTATGCATCATAAAAAACAGACAAAAGTATAAATAAATTGAATATTCACTTGCAGAAATGACACAGAAATGTTTAATACTGTCGCTTATCAGTCAGCTTTCCATAATATAAATAAGCATGGTTATCAGTCAATGGAGCCTAAAAATTACCCTTGAGATCAAATATTATAATTTATATTTTACAATTCTAACCATTCTCTTTACCTTGAGAAAGTGACATCTCCACATTAAACCCCTATTCCTTCATTTCCCTCCCCTGCACAAAATGAGATGACTAATTAAGATTATCCATCTGGCTAAATGAAAAATAATAATAACAGAGGTGTTGCAGACACCGAGAAAAAACATCCTCCAAAATACTTGTTGTTTAAGTTGCTTTGGTGTGTTTTTTTCCAGTAAGTACAGAGCGGCATTAATGAATCTGCAGGGCAAATGCAGGGCAAATGTTGCTCTTTATTAATACCATCTGTTTCTAGAAATTAAATCGAGGAAAGTAATTCAATAGTTCAATGCACCAATAAGTGTAAATCTCGAATAGAATACTGTATTTCAGTATATTTTCCTCAAGAAAGAGATCAAACGCAAGCTGCTAAATTAGGAACATTACGAAGGTTACAAAAAAGAGGAGGTACTTAATCATAAATAGTAAATAGTAGCGAATTGATTTTGAAGATCTCATCCAGTTGTTTGTTGAAAGAAACCTGGGAGTTAACTGAATACGTTGCTTGGTGGTTCATTCCTACTTCCAACACCTTTTGCGTAAAAGTGTCTCCTCTTCATTTTAAATTGACTTCCCCACAGTTTTTCACGCGTTTCGTATGAACCCATGTGTCATTTCATCTGCGTAATTTGAGAAGGCCGATGCAAAAGAGCTGTGATACCAGCTGCTGTCGCAAGAGGGCCTCAAAGCCCTCTCTAGTTAACAAGGGCAAAGTCCTGCTTGAAAGAATTCGAGAAGAGTCGACTCGCGTGGAAATGCCAGTAAAACAGGAGAGCAGGGCGGACCAGTGCAATAGTGTAGCTTTCCGGAAGGAAACTAATTATGCGACTTAAAAGGAGTAAATAGCGGGGTTTTGCGCAGGTGAACGAACGGTGGTTGAGGCAGTTTCCACGAATATCCTATTATTTTTCGCCTCAAGAAAAGCACTCAGATCCAATGTCGGTCAGTGCGCAAAGGACTATCAGACGTGCTCCACACACACGCACAAAAAAAATAGATTCCGTCTTTGCAAAGGTTTCTGTGAGAGAAATACGATCCCCAAACCAAAAAGGACCAATATAGCGAACTTTTAGATGCAGGTTTTGCTGAAGAGATAGCTTGTTAAAATGTTTCGGTAAAATTCAGAATTCTTTCGTCTGCTGCTATCATTCGTTACAATATCAGTAATGATGAGTGTCTCGGACACTGCTAGGAAAGCACAGACTGCCTCAGAAATACAGATCGAGTGACTCAAGAGTTACAGTATAGATGTGGGAGTGTAAGAATGTTGCGACGTCACCCTAACCTACTGTTCTGGTGCAGAAACATCAGGAGTTAGACATAAGTTCATTTTTTTTCGAATGCCATTACTGTTTCAGGTGTTAACTGTGCTCTTCAGTCTTGCGTGCAGGAATAAATTAAAGTGACAGAACATAATAAAACGTTTTATAATAAAACGATACGTTTTGCACCTCAGTTCCAGTTAAGGGGGGTCTGCGTAACATCTGGAATGTCCTAGTTTCCCTGCTTTTTCTGTTTGAATTTTTATATATCCACCCTGATTTAAATAACTTGTATAACTAACCATTCCAAGCAGCTTCTTCGATTACTCTTCCTATGCTGGTTTTAGGGCCGACTAGCAATGCGTGTTCACAAAATTGCAGCTCTGAAAAGCAACAATAATTACAAATAATGTCAGAAAAAATACAGAAAAAGAAGAGCAGCTCACAAAACACAAGCAAGTAGATAGCAAGACCCACAGGACATAGACAGGGCTGCCACAAATTGTAAACTGCCCCTCTGAGAAAATTGTACTTCTGTTCAGGAAACAAGAATCAGTTTTTCTAACTGCTTTGTCTGGTACGGGGTTGCAGGGGAGCTGGAGCCTATCCAAGCAAGCTACAGGCACAAGGCAGGGTACATCCTGGATGGGACACCAGTCCACCACAGGGCACACACAGACACAGACACACACTCACACCAAGGCTAGTTTTCCCAGAACCCAATTAGCCTGCTCTGCTGGGCCCCTGAGCAAGGCCCTTAACCCCAGCTGCTCCAGGGGTGCCGTACGACGGCAGACCCTGCGCTCTGACCCCAGGCTCTCCCCTGTGTCTCATGGAGAGCAAGCTGGGGTGTGCGAAAAGATAATTCCCAATGCAAGAAATTGTAAAGGGTTAATAAAGTGATGTTAAAAAAAAAGCACCAGCATGTTTGGACTGTGGGAGGAAACTAGAGCATGCAGAGGAAACCCAGATGAATATGGGGAGAACATACAAACTCCCCACAGATAGTAACCCAGGGTCTGATGCTAACCAGTGCACCCCCATGCTGGGTCATGGAAGGGTTTCAGGTGAGAATTTTAGGCACAGGGAAAGTATTTTTTTTTCCTGGGGATTAAAATGCAGTGGCATATCCTCATGCAGCCCTGAGGTTAAGAGCGTTCAAACCCTGTTTTTTTTTAGGACCTCAGGAGCTCCTTCATCATGACTGTCCGTAGACAAGGGTGCTGGCAAATATAACCTGTTTTACTGGGGTGCTGAAAGGGACACCCCTGTAGTTTTTCCGGCCTTGCAGCTGGTTGCCATGGCGCGCTCCTCGGAGACCTCGCGCTTCTTCCAAAAAGCCTCCGGCTTTGTCCCCTTTCTCTCCGTTTCCATCAGCGGAGCAGATTAAGCCTGGTGTCTGTGGGAGGACAGCCTTCCTTCCTTTCTCTGGCCCCGGTCCTGCACCCCGCTGTCACCCCGATTCGCTCTCCTGGGTCACGGGCCGGTGGAGAGGTGGGGCAAGAGACGCGCTCGTCAGTGAGGGGCCAACGGACACAGGGGGGCCCTCTGGTTACCTCTCTGTGGCTCGACTGGCGAGTTCGTGCGGGTCTTTCTGCGCTCAGCTGGGACACAGAGATCCTTGTTGTCAGCTCTGCGGGGTTTTTTTAGAGGCATCTTTTCTGGAGGGTCCCCGAGACCTCTAATCCAGCAGGTTCTCAATTAAACCAGTGATTTTTTAAGTTAAGTGATTTTAAAGATCATTTAGAACTGAAATCTCAGTGCTTTTAGGCAGAACAGTGCGCACTGTTGGCAGTGCTGCCTCTCAGCGCTGGAGAGGGGAGAAGGTGGAGTTTCTGTGTTTGTGTGGGTTTCCTCCCCTGGTCCAAAGACACCCCAGTAGGTTAATTGCTTAAACGTACTTACATTTTAGATCTTTTAAATGACTGAATGTAACAAATCGATTGTTCAAATGATAAGAAGTTTTTTTCTCTATCTTTAGAAGCTGGTGTTTTAATTGCCCCTGGTGTGGGAGTGTGTCCTGTGATGGACTGGCGTCCTGCCCAGGGTTGTACCCTGCCTTGCGCCCATTGCTTGCTGGGATAGACTCCAGCTCCCCCTCAACCCTGAAATGGGCGAAGCGATTCGACATTGGATGGATGGATCTAATTCCTCTTCAGCCTTCAAGGATCAGAGTTCTTTTAATTGAGCTGATCACTTCTTTGATTTCATCAAGAGCTGACAGGTGTTGTCAATCTTGAGGAACAGGTGACCTGTCAGACAAACTGGACTGCGGCTCCCCAGGAACAGCAATGGAGACTCCCTGAAATCCTGTATTATTGCAATGCAGTATGTTGAAGAAAACTAATTTTATAAGGTGACGTACTGGAGAGAGATCAGCAGTCATTGGTATTAATACAGGGCTGTTAAGTTCAACATGCAGATAACCTTATAGATGGTAGTAGCATGATATATCAGTGGTGTGAAACCACTAGTAATGG